TGTTTTGATTTAAGCAGGCAACAAAATTTTTTAAATATTATAATTATATATTTATGATATATAATTTAAAGATTTACTATTAAATAAATAAAATATATTGAAAATTAAATAATGAAGTCTAGTTATTTTAATTATATAAATATTAACGAATTGTTATACTTTTTTCTTTATTTATTAAATTTAGTAAATAGGATAGTATTTAAAATTTCCCGCTCCATATAAAATGTGTTATATAATAGCACATTATATTGAATTTGCTAAAAAATTACTATAATAGATTATTTTTATAGAATACGAGATGTATATAAGAGGTAATGTACATTGAAATAGTCTATTATTTTTATTAAACGGCATTATTAATATATAAGCTTTAAATCATTAAATACATGAAAGGTTAGTCATCTGATCTTCTATATGAATATGCTTGAAGCTTTAAGATCTTCTAGTAAGGTTATACGAAAATATATAAGTAACCTTAATATTCGGTAATATCGCACAAATTGTGTATAATGTATCAACAAAAAAAGAAAAACGAAATAGAACTTTTTCAGGAAATGGTAATTAAGTTTACTCATTATATATTATGCTTATAATAATATATTTATATATATTATATTTATAGTATTTAAAAACAATATTTTTTGATATTAAATTGTAGAAAGAAAGGAAAATTGTTTAAAATTAGAATAAAAAGTTATTGATTAATTGTAGATTCCTAATGCAACACCAGAAACTATGAGGATTTTTCAAGATTGTATGAAGACAGAGGCTGTTTTTAAATCTGCTTTTCCTTATTCATTTTTAAGTTCATTAGTAACATATTTGATATTACCTAAAAGTTCGGGTATGACTAGACCTATTTTGACAACATTTATGGGTATATCAATGTATTTATTTGGCAAATTGACATATACACCTGTATGTTATAAGAAAGCATTTGGTGTATCACAACCATTAATTAATCTTAATGAGAGAAGGTATTATTTATTTTTATAATATATTGTATAATATTCATTTTTTAATTAGTTAGTAAAGTAATTTGAAACATATTTAGAAAACAATTGCAAAATACTGATGATATTGATAGTTTTGGTCATCAAGATCAAGAAAAATATCCTATATATTTTGATAATGTAACAGAAGAAAAATCAGTATGGGATAATCTTGATACGCAATTTGAGAGCAATAGTAAGTTTATTAAAGAAATAATTTGACTATTTTTTTTCAATAATTAAATTTTTAAATTATATTTGAAGCAAATGAATTTTATGATGCAACTGGTAATTTACCAGTTGAAGATGAATTAAAAAATGAATCTCAAGAAAAACAGAAGAAGCGTGTGACATATGATGATTTATGGATTCAACACAGAAAACAAGAAATGAAGAATCAATTTGATGATATTGAAAAGTATAAATTAATTTTTAATCAATTATATAAAGAAATAAATTACTTTTGTATTTTTTTAATTTTATTCTTTCTTAATAATTGTTAAATTTTTATTATATATATATTATTTTATATGTATAATCTCTCTTTCAATTTTATAAAATATTATTGTTCTTATTTTAATTTCATTTATAGATATAAAGTAACGCAAACATCAAAATTATTGGAAAGTCAACAGAATAAACTTTCAAAAGAATCAGCAATTCCTGAAGGAGAATTCGATGAAAAAAATATTTGGAGTTGAACATGTGTATTTTTAAATTTTTAATAAAAGTTTTGGTAGTAAAAATAGCAACACAAATAAATATGTTAAAATTCATAAAATTTTTTCATCAATTTTTTTTTATGTTAAATTTTTTTTTGCAAAAATTTTTTTTGTATTTTTCAAAACATTTTGAAAGCTGGTGTTTATATTTATAAATAAATATTATATAATTCATTAATAAGCATATGTAACAATATAAATAAATTGTATTTAGAATTAAATAATAAATTGCATGTTTGAAATATTTATAATATATATATA